GAAGTACCTGATCCCGTAACTCCCCAACAATTCCCTCTCCAACCGTGAATGGCCAACTGCTTCTTCCCAGCTACGTAGGAAATCTTCCCCTTGCTCTAACCCCTCCTCTGCATAGAGGGTTATGTCAAAGTCCCCCACCCACAAGAAAAAGGTATAGCACCACACGTCTACCCCTCCGTAACTGCCCACGATGATGTCGGCTGGCTCAACCTCTAGAACTCTCAAGCTCATAGATCGGGATTCGTGAGAAACTAATCCTACTCTCCGCCTGTTTGCCTTTGCACTATCCGCTAATTGCCACCAGCACTTTCCAACCGTCCGATCCGTCAAGATAGGCGTCAAGTATTATCGGCGTCGGGCGTCTGCCCCTGGCATAGGTTCGGTAACCTAACGCATAAAAATACTTGAACCCGTAGACCTTTAGTTCTTCCCTTTCCGACCGCGAGTGACCCACTGCCTCTTCCCAACTACGGAGGAAAACTTCCCCTTGATCCTGCCCTTTCTCTACGTAAATAGCAATATCGAAGTCCCCGGTCCACAGACGAAAAGTGTAACACCACATGTCGACTTCCACGTAACTACTCACACTAATACCTTTCGGTACCACCTCTAGCCTCATACGCACACTCTAATCAAAGCCCCTTCTTTCCAGCCTTGGCTACTCGAGAGACCACCCCTAACCTGCAAGGAGAAAATGCCTATGAACCTAGCAGAATCAAATGGACCAGTGAAGGAACGTCGTCTCACTCGGCTACCCTCGTCCTCCCCCGCTGAGAGGTCCTCCCACTTCCAGGCGTAGAGACTAGCCGCAATCACGGGTCATCCCCGAAGAGGGGTGGCAACCCCCCCCTTGGAGTCGGACCGAAGTCACACACCAGTGCCTTACGTCTCCCACCGAACCAACACTTAGTCCTAAGTTATCCTATCTGGTACCACACCCCTACTCGACCCACCTCGAGCGTGGAATTACCCGGGTCCCCGGACTTTTATCCGCCTATCCATCATCAATCGCTAGCCTGTTTACTCCCCCCCACATGCTCTCCCTCAACTCGTGAATTCTTCTTCCTTCGTTCCCTCCTTCCTTTCTCGCCACCGTCTTGCTCTCTTCTCTCTCGGAATCAAAGTTTTCCTTATCGGGGTTTCCAAAAAGAGGGAAGGGATAGATTCAGCAAGAGAGTCTCTCAGGTTGGGCCTGTTAGAGTACGCACCTCAAAGCCTTCGATTGCCTTCAATACTGGTTATCGTAGTCCAAGTAGTCCCCAAGCTCCGAGTCCGAGAAGTCGGCACGGCACCGGTCCACCCAGGTCCCGGCTTCCGAGCCCTCCCCCGTCACGCTCTCAGATCCCCAAACGTTGTCCTTTTGCGAATCCCTATCCTGGATTGGTACCCTTCCCTCTCTTTTCTCGACTTGGGGCAGGGGTATTTCTACTCTAGAGTCGGCCCCTTGGACCGTACCTCTTTCTCCAGACCGGGGACAACCAAACCCCTTCCCTCTCCCCCTGTTACTATGGGTCTCGCAGTTAGTCCCTGAGGGTCGAGGATGATAGGCAAGGCCCTTTCCCTTGGAATTAAACCCCTTGGATCCCACATGGAAGGTATCCCAGGACCCTCTTGAATCCCCCCCTCTTCTCTCTCTTCAATGCCCACGACTTCTATCTCACGTGCAGACCACATACACTTTTTTCCCGTGTGATTTTTCCCCTTCGGTTATTTTTCACCCTCATCCAGACCAAGCAAGTAAGCACGCAAGCTCTTCACCCTCTTGTTTTATCCATTTTTCAAAATAAAACACACCAAAGTCTCACAACCCAGGAGGGATCTGACGTGTATTTCCGAAAGTCGCAAAGCGGGGCTGGCGAAGACCTGCAAAAAGGAGATCCTGACACCCCAAGTCCCAAGCCCCCAAACATCCTTGCAACCCTTCCTAATGAAAAATCAAAATAAAAATAAAATTAAAAACAACCGAGAACGCGCTCGAAGTCGCTCGATGGAAGGGACGTCGTCAAGAAAGCGGTATGAAAAAGAGGCCGCCGTTAAAAATCAATGTCATAGTCTCAAGAAAACAGAGGTCGCCACAAAGTGGTTGTCGACTATATTGCAGCCCGGTCACGGCAGGAGCCGCAAACTCGGCCGTGGCCGCGGCCGTCGGTCAGATCGGCCGGGTTCAGCCACGACCGACCAGCCAAGTTTGGTGCAGCTATTTTTTTCCCATATTTTAATGAAAAAAAATAATAATAAAAAAAAAATGGGCGTGTAGAGTTTTTTGAACCCTACACGCCCATTTTTTTTTGGGGGGCATTGTTGTTTTCTATTGCATAAAATAAAATAAAAACAAAAAATGAAAATGAAAACAAAAAAAAAACGTTTCGAAACCCTGCGCAAGTGTGTGTGTGTGTGTGAGTGTGTGTGTGTGTGTGTGTGTGTGTGTGTGTGTGTGTGTGTGTGTG